GGGGGCGGACAGGGCGGCGGGGCCCAGCGAAGAGCTTACAGGCTCAGATGATGTTGTGCTCCTGGACCTTCTCTCCCGAGTAAAAGCGGCTGAAGAGGAAGGAGCTCAGGTTGATGGTCTGGAAGTGGCCCTCCAGCACCATCTCCGCCACAGCTCGCCCCACGGCAGGGGCCTGCTGGAGCCCGTGGCCGCTGAAGCCCGTGGCAAAATACATGTTGATGACCAGTGGGTGAGGACCCACCACGCCATTCTGGTCAAAGGTGTTGTAGTCGTAATAGCCGGCCCAAGCGCTCCGAACCTGCGGGTGTACAAGACACAGGTGTGCCTGGGAAGGTGCCGACACGTGTCACCCTCACTCCTGCTCTGGGGACAGACGCGGCACCCTCTTCCAGCCCCCGAGGGGTCAGTGGGATGGGTCCCTAGACCAAGAGTCCTTAGCAGTTGTGAGGCAGAGGGCGAGTGGCAGTGGACAAGCTTTCCAAGCCGACCCAGGTGCTCCAGGCTCATGGGTCTCCTGTTACCTTCAGAGTTTCAAAAGCCGGTACCCTCTGGGCCAAAGGGGGCCACACCCTGTCCTGGAAGAAATCATGGTCCACCTCCAGGTTCCCTGGATCCGGTTCCTCCTCCTACGGTGAGAGGTGGGGACATGGCTGATGTTGCCTGGGACACAAGGGCTGACCCAGACCTCACTGAGCCCCTCAGTAGGAGGGGATGGGGAGAAAAGATCCCAGTTCAAACCCAGAGGAGGCTCAACATCAGTGAGAGCGCTGGGCCGTCCAAGGAGCCTGACTCTTCGATGACAGTGGCCTATGTCCCCTGCCCAGCACCCCAACCCCGCTTAGCTTACCTCAGTGGGGCTACAGCCACCCAGGTAGTTATGGCCTAATCCTTCTCGGCGGAAATAGGTTCCACTGGGGTCTATAACGAACGGGGTCTCCAGGCCTGGTCCCTGGGGGCAGTGCCACAAGTACACGTACCTGCCACAACCAGCAGGTTAGGAAATCCCCTTCCCAGCACATTTACCAAACTCTTACATTGCTTTTTTCCCTCTCTCACCGACCTCCTCAGCTGCCCTGAGGGAAGTTACCTTTTTCTCAGCTCCACAGGTAGCTTGGTGCCCTGGAGGGTGCCAGGTGGCCCGTTCCCAATGCCAGCCAGCTCTGCAACCTGGCCAGACCAGGCCCCTGCTGCGTTGACCACTATGGCACATTCCACGGGCTGGTACTCCAGGCTTTGGTCTATCTTCACCTGAAGGCACCAGAAAGGGAGGGGAAGGAGGGCCTGGCCCACATACCAGGCCCTGTGAGAGGTACATTTCTTCCCTAGCCTTAGTTTACCCAGACTGGAAGTGAAGAGAAAGACCAAAATGACAGCCGTTACCTTTTCCACCCTTGCACTTTGGTAAGGAAGATGCGCAGGCTGGCAACTTACATGAACTTCGTGGATCCTTTTCAAATTCACTTCTTCCCCACTTGCAGTCTTCATGAGGTTAGACGAAGACACGAAACCTGCAGGAAAAAGAAAAGAAGCGCCTGAGGCCTGAAGAAGACGAGACTGGGATTCCGTGCACTTCATTAGGAAAGCAACCTGGAAGACCGGAGCTTTCCCGCAAACAGATATGGGGTAACCAAGATGACCTTGATTGCATGCAAAATGGGAGCAAGCTGAAACCTTCACGTGCAACACGAGTCCTGAGAAAGCCTACTTAGGAGCTGGAGTCAGGATGCTCAGGACCAGGCCGCAGGGAGAACCCCATTCCCCACCAACCCGTGCTTAGCCCGTGAGTGAAGATAAGACCCCATCTAGGCCTGTGCCCCAGCTGGCAGAGGAAAGGAGCAGTGGGCACGGGGCCTCAGACTCACGTGTCACCTCTCCGCGGCAGAAGAGGACCCCCATGGACTGGACCTTTCGCCGAAGCCCCTGGAGCAGACACCAGGGGTCAAACCAACCTTCGTGCTCCATCCCTGTGATAAGAAAGAGGACTCAAGAGGTGGGATTAGGACCCTCCTCTCCTGTTGGATTTCCTGTGCCCCCAACTCCTCTTTAGGGAAGCCAGGGAAGGTTCACGTTGACCAAGTGTACCAGAGTGAAATCCTGTGGAAGGACAGAGAGCTAGCAGGGTCCGAGGGAGGCTCTGCTGGCCCGGGGGGGAAGCACTGCTTCTAGAGGCGGGTTACAGGATGCTGAGACTTCCAACGTTGAGGCGCCCCTCAACCCCTGATCCCCTCTGCAAGCACGTTTTACCATAAGATGCCAAAGCCACGCCCTCTGTGTTTATCCAGGGAAACTTGTTCCGAAGCTGCTCAGGAGACATCAGGCAAACTTTGGCTCCTTCCTGCCTGAGAGAAATGCGCGACTGTGTGCCTGTGTGTCAGAGTCGAGGACTGTGCAGAGAAGGCGAAGTATGGACCCCGACTCCACAAGTGGGGATTCCGATTCATTCATGTAACTTCTCTGCCCCAAACCCCCAAGTTTTCCTCCCTGTTGAACGTGTAAAGGCCAAGCGTCCTAGTCATGGCTCTTCAGCTGACCCCTCTTTCCTTTCCTACCCCCTGGTATCCCTTTGACCACACTAAACTCCCTGACATCCCCTAACTATCCTGTATCCTTTCACAACAGGGCAGACCACTGTGTCCCTTCCGCTTGTCTCCTTCCCTTCTGCCTGGAATGACCTTCCTGTCTACCTTCTAGTACAGTCCTGCTCACTAGCACAATTATCTCCTATGGGACACTGTCCTCGAAAGGCAGCAACGCAGACCCTAAAACAACACACTCGCAAGCCCGACTGCCTGGTTCAGATCCCAGTGCCACCACTTGCTAGCTACCTTGTGCCTTGGTTTACCCACATGTGAAATGGGGATGTCTTGGTGACTAAATGAATAACTACTGCATCTGGGACATTACCCGATGTCCCTAGTAAATCCCGCAAGACTGTTATAGACACATGCTCCTGACCGATCACGAGACGCACTTAGGAGAGGGCTTGCCCCAACCAGCCTGCTGCATTTTGTACCTGAGTCGCACTGATTCATTTCTATTTTTGCCTATATCTTGTCCCTGGCTGCTTCTGTTTCGACTACAAAGCTGAATGATGGCAGCAGAGTCCATATGGCCCCCGAAGCCTAAAATGTGTACTATCTGGCCCTTGCAGGAAAAGTCTGCAGATTCCTGGGCCCTTCCCTAGAGGCTCTGGCTTATTAGGTCTGGGATTTCCTGGGTGGTTTTTGTGATCTGGCCGATTTAGGAACCACCACAGCAGTGTGTTGTCTGTATCCATGTTCGAGCACTTAGCACAGGGTACTGGAGGTCTGCATGTGTCTGTGCTTCCTGACAGACTCCTGTCAGAGCTCCTACACAGCAGGGACCTATCTCATCAACCCCCCTCCCCATCCCCGCCCCACCGGGTTTCTCAGTTCCTAACTTGGTGTCAGAGCTTGCTACACGCACACAGCTGAGCAGCAGCTGGGTGGTCGTGCCAGGCACCCCACCCACCTCTGCACCTTCACGTTGTTCTCCATGATGGCAGCACCCTTTTCTGAAGCCAGCAAGAGATAACCTGATGGGTTGAACTGGATGTCCAGGGGAGGGTCATCAGCTACAGCCAGGTACTCCTGTGTGTGCGCAAAGAAAAAAAAAAAGTTCTTTAGAGAAGCTGATTTAAAGGAGGGAGGGAGGGAGAGCTTTCCTGGCCTCCTCACCAACAGCTCCCAGGGCTCAGAGAAGCGCCCCTCTGGGTACCACCACTGGGGAGAAAACTGGTGATTCCAACTCCTAGTGGCCCGAACTGCCTCCGCTCCCTGATCCCCCTGGCCAACTGGGCTGCTCCTCTCTCTGGGCGAAAGGAGTGCTCACCACCCCAGTCCCCAAATCTCTTTGCACATACATTGATGTTCCGTAGAAAGTCAATTGAAAAGAGGGAAAGCTGGACGTTCTCAGGCACCGAGAACTGCTGACGGATCCCGCCCACGGAAAGCACAGTGGAGGCCCGGGAATACTGTAGAAAGACAAAAGTAACTGAGGGAGACCAGTACCCTGTCACCTGGGAGCAGAATGCTGGAACGGAAGCCCCTAGGGGTAATGGGGGGTCCTACTTGCACGTTTATAATCTAAGAGGAGTTGAGGTGGATAAACCTGTATGCAAGTCAACCAGCACCCAAAGAGGACAACAATTATTAAAATCCTTCTTAGCAGATGTGCAGAGCAGAGAGAGCCAGTCATCTAAAAGGGCTGGGCACTGTGGCACAAAACGGTAATGGCCTAGAAGTCCAAGGGCAGGAGATTAACACTTCATCTACTAATTGGAAAATAGAGGAATATGACCAAACTAGTAAGATTCGTGGCTAACTCTCAATGGCTAATCGGAACTAAAGTGCAAAAACTCAGAAGTAAAGGAACCTGGAAGGGGGAGGGGATAGCTGTTTGTGTTGATTCCAGCCAGAATGCAGGCTCTCAGATGGACCTGTGGGCGCCCAAAAGATCTGACATTGTGAAATGTGCTTTTACAAGCAAAACCTCTATGGCCAAAGTCTCTAATTTGAAGGAAGAACCCGGGACTGTTTCTCAACAAGAGTCAAAGTACAGTCCCTGCCCTTTAGACCTCCAAAGATCGAAGTCTTTCCTCCCTTCCCCTCCCCTTGCCCCTTAATAAAATAGGAGTCCATGCCCCAGTCATGACACTGCTCTACCCCACACCTCACCGTGTGGTCCCGTTCCACCACCAGCACTCGAATGGCACCTCGTGGCTTCTCCAACTTCTTCAGCCAATAGGCCACGGACAGGCCAAGCACCCCACCCCCCACAATCACCACATCCGAGCTCTCAGGGGGCAGGTAGCTTGTGTCGTACAGTGGATTCCAGTCCCCGCCGGGAAGGATTGACTGGATCTTCTTCTTGATCTCGGACATCTTTCCATCTCGGTCTGTGGGACGCAGTTAGGGTCAGAAGGCCATACATTTTCTTTACAGGTGGTAGGGGGTTAGAGGATGGGCACAGGAGAAGGTTGGCTAAACGGAAACGGACACTGAGCTGGCTGTTCCCACGGTCATCCCCTCTCATAAGGTCAGCCTGCACCCAGCAGTATTCCACAGCTTCGCCATGTGGTCTGTGTGCCATCAGGCTCTCTTCCCGTCTCACGCATCATGCCCAGCACTGCAAGATTCAACTTCTCAAAAAGAACACTCTATACTCTCTCCCTAGGCCAGGTGACTTACGCGTGCTTATCTCCTGTGCAGACTGCTCTTTCCCTTGAATCACAGGCTCATATATTCAACTGCATTTCCCTCTCCTCTCGGAGAGGAGGGTTCCAGGCTCCTGGACCAATAGGTCCTGGCACACTCCAAGCAGCAGTGTCCTCTGAAGCATGATACCTCTGAGTGGCACTTTATCCTGGATATCCGTCACCACCGACAAAGCTACATTCATGTCCTATTTATTGTCAAGTCCTGATGTCTTTGCCTCCTAAAGATCTCTCCAATCTGTCCCCCTTTCCTCCCCATCTCCGCCACCACCACCTTAGCCCAAACTACCACGACCTCTCACCTGGACTAACCCAAAAGCCTTACTGTTCCCACTAATCCTCCTCTTACCACCTGACTCTTTTGCATCACAGCTAGAATATTTTCTAAGCACTAATTCAATCACATACTCTCCTGCTTAAAACCTTCCAGTGGTTTTCCATTACTCTAAGAATAAAAGTCCAAGATCTTCAACATGGATGAGGCACAGCACACTCTGGCTCTGGTTTACCTTTTTCTCTCCCCACTCCCCCACTCTGCCCCCTTCGACACCTCGATGGTGGCAGGGAATCTACACAGGTGTTATCTCGACTTTGAAACCGTGTCCACTTCTTTGCCTGGTTAACTCCTTGCTTCTTTTCGCTTTCAGCTCAGTTCTCATTTTTCTCAGGGAAGTCTTTCCTGACTCTGCAGACTGTCAGAATCTCCTGTCACATGGTCTCATTACCTCATGCAACACATCTGCAATTTTGAGTTTAAGTGTCATTGCTTCATATGGTACTATGCCTACCTTCTTCACCAATGAGTCTTCAGCCTAGCACAGAACCTGGTACGCCATCAGTGCCTTGAATCAATGAATCCTTTCATCTTTCAAACCTAACACACAAATCTCCAAGTCGTCTCACCAACTCCAATACAAAATTCAAACTCTTCTCGGCAATGTTGGAATCTTTCTTTGATCTAGGCTTACCTCACCCATCCACACTACGTTTCCTATCTCTGCTCTCTACCTACGTGGCTTTTGTTAGATTCTTGCACAAAACCAATACTTCTAATTTTGTTAGATTCTTGCACAAAACCAATACTTCTAATTTTCGTCCGCAACCTGGAACACACACCTTCCCTGAGCCAGTAAACGATATCCATCAAGGCTGATCTCAGTTCCCATCTGCTCACTGTACTTCTCCAGTTACACTAGCTTCGGGGACTAGCAGTGCAGGGCATTTGTCCAAGTTGGATTCTATCCAGTCTTGAACTGGTCTATTGAAGTCTTCACTCTCCGGCTGCACTCCAGGCCACACACTGAACCTTCTTTCTCTTCCCTCCTTAACAGCCCCACGCTAAGTGCAGCATCCTGCACGCGAGCAGGACTTTAAGGCACAGGTAGCTCTGCAACCAATCAACCTGGCTCTCTGTTATGCTGGTGGTAAACTGAGGCATAGAACGATCTGGAATTTGTCACCTGAGAGGGGCTTCCTGGGAAGCCCAGCCTTTACAAGCTCCGGCAGGAAAGCGTACCCCCTCCTCCCAGCCGACCCACTGTCTTTACATCGTGGGCCGGGTCCTGAGTCCGGAAGGTCACAGAGCTGGAGCTTGGGGCCATCCAAGAACCACGATACCCTCCGCGGCCCTCAACTTTACCCAGAATAGAGCCTCCTCTGTGTGTGCCTAGACCCCGGCCCAAGGGGCCCCGGCACAAGCCCAAAAGCAACGTCCTGCGAAGCATGACCACTCAGAGCCCAGGCCCTCTGGGAGACCCCCCCCACCCCACCTCCCGACGCCAGCCCCACTCTGCCGTCACTTCTCCGCGCCGCAGGCCGTTCAGACGAGCGCGCCCATTGGCCAACGGGTCCTGAGGGCCACGCCCCTCCGCGCTGTAGGCCGTCCTCTCTGAGAGCCCCGCCCAGGTCCGCCCCCACCCGCCATTGGCGAGCCTGGTGCCTGCGTCAGTGTTGCGCGCCCTCGGGCGGAGGCGGAGAAAGAACACAGCAGCTCGGAGCGGAAGTGCGGCTGCGCCGGTTTCCGGGACCGCTGGTGTGACGTGTCCCGAGCTTGGCGCAGCAGGAAGCGGCGGCGATCGCGGCCTGAGTTCCCGGCGCCGGCCCCGGCTCCTTTCCCGCTGCCGCCATGCTCGACTTCTTCACCATTTTCTCCAAAGGCGGGCTTGTGCTCTGGTGCTTCCAGGGCGTGAGCGACTCATGCACCGGGCCCGTTAATGCGTTGATTCGTTCTGTGCTGCTGCAGGTATAGCCCCCTCGGGATCAGAACTACGGGCTCGACCCCCTGAACTGGTCCATAGCCCCTTCAACTGATCCCACGCCCTCCTCCCACCTTCTCCGCCTACCCCAAACTGGCCACTCACTCATTGCCAGTATTCCGCTTCTCTTTCCCGCTCCCCTGGGACCTCTAGCAACTTTACGACGCCCCCTCCCCCTCCGTCTCTGGGACTCTAGCCGAATCCCGGCGTCTCTTGAGATTTCCCATAGTTCCCTCCATTGATCCCCTAGCAGCTTAATTTTCTGTTGTGTCGAAGGCTGGGTGCTGGGCGAGATAATGGAAAAACGCTTTTAAAAAGCTGTAAATAGCGTACAGCTGCTAGTAAATCTGATTGTGTGATTCTCTCTTCTGGCTCCCACGTGTCTTTCCCTCTAACCTCTTTTCCTCTTAACCGTCCCCCTGCCCCCAACTTGGCACCTCCTTTTCTCCCTGATGGGATGCTGCTAGAGAGCAGTGCCCCAGCATCCTCTTGTCCTGGGGACGACAGGTTTGACTTTGAGGGAAGTGTCTGGTTCTTTCCCATAGGTGATCCTTGAGGGGCTCAAGTCTGGGTTTTCTGGGTAGTCTGAACTCTACTTTTTTTTTTTTTCCAGGAAAGGGGAGGTAACAACTCCTTCACCCATGAGGCACTCACACTCAAGTACAAATTGGACAACCAGTTTGAGCTGGTGTTTGTGGTAAGTGGGGCTATTTTAGAAGGATAATGATTACACTTTTCTTTATTCCTGATTAAGAGAATCCTCATTAATTGAGCCCAGTGTATACGGTGATGTAACTGAGAAGACAGACAGTGGAGGGGGAAAGGGAAGACGCTCCTGAGCCCAGGCAGAGACCTTGGCTGCCCCTCAGGTCGGGGAAACGTGCCAGGCCGCTGAGCCAGTCTCTGGAGGCCTGGAGTGAGCTGGCTTGTAAGCAGATCTGTTGGCTCTGTTTCTCTCCCTGAACAGGTTGGTTTTCAGAAGATCCTAACGCTGACGTATGTAGACAAATTGATAGATGATGTGCACCGGCTGTTTCGGGACAAGTACCGTACAGAGATCCAACAGCAAAGTGCTTTAAGTCTATTGAATGGCACTTTTGATTTCCAAAATGACTTCCTGCGGCTCCTTCGGTGAGAGGCCTCCCCTCTGCACAGTTGATTTCCATGACCTGATAATCTCCCTTCCTTCCTGAGGGCGGTTCCAGGGGAGTAAATTGTTTATCAGAACACACGGAATTTGCTGTCCAGTTGTAACTGGCCTCTTGGTGTGAGGGTCCTTTCTCTGGACTTTGATCATTCTCTTCTTTCTAGTGAAGCAGAGGAGAGCAGTAAGATCCGTGCTCCCACAACCATGAAGAAATTTGAAGATTCTGAAAAGGCCAAGAAACCTGTGAGGTCCATGATTGAGACACGGGGTGAAAAACCCAAAGAAAAAGCAAAGAACAGCAAAAAAAACAAGGGGGCCAAGAAGGAGAGTGAGTTTGAGCTCCTTGGACATAGCAGGGCATGAAAAGTTAATGTGATAGTATGGACTGAAATTGTCTCATCTTTCCCTTGGTCTTTGCTTACCTCCCTTGCTCAGATGCCCATCACCTAATCATCCCGTCCTTGTGATCCCCAAGGTGTTTGCCCCTAGTTTCCTCTTAAGGATTTGGAAGACTTTATTTCCCATTGTAGGAATTTGGTTGTTTTTCTCCAGTGAGTTTTCTCCTGACAGGTTCTGATGGCCCTTTGGTTACCAGCAAAGCTGTCCCTGCTGAAAAGTCAGGTCTCCTGGTGGGGCCTGAGAATGGGGTAGAACTTTCCAAAGAAGAGCTGATACGTAGGAAGCGAGAGGAATTCATTCAGAAGCATGGGAGAGGTATGGAGAAGTCCAGGTGAGCATTCTAACTTTCACCACAAATGTTGTTATCTAGCCACAGTGGGGGCAAGGGAGCGCTTATCCCTGGTTCTTGAGTGGATGTTTCCTTTCCTACTTCACCGTAACCCTTTGTGCTGTAACCCTTTACAGCAAGTCCATGAAATCAGATGCTCCAAAGGAGAAGGGCAAAAAAGCACCCCGGGTGTGGGCTCTGGGTGGCTGTGCAAACAAGGAAGTCTTGGATTATAGCACCCCCACCACCAACGGAGCCCCTGAGGTTGCCCCACCTGAGGATATCAACTTGGTAAGAGGCAATAGGGGCCAGTCAGAGTTACCATTAGTAAGCATTTGGGGAGGAGGTAGAGACTAGGAGGGTAGTACCTTTGGTTGCTTTGAATGAAGGGGTGGGTTACATTTGGAGTTTTCCAAATCAGAGATGGAATGAGGACAGGGTAAATCCTGGGCTTCTTCCCCTTCAGCTCTCGAGAGTTCCTGATCCCCTCTTACTCCTTTCCCTGTACCCTCCAGATTCGAGGTACTGGGCCTGGGGGGCAGCTTCAGGATCTGGACTGCAGCAGCTCAGAGGATGAGGGGGCCACTCAAAACTCCACCAAACCTAGGTAGGGGAATTTCAGGTGGTGAGTGGGAGGTATGGCTCCAGAACAGATGAAACTTCATTCCTGCCCGCTGGCTTTATACATATCCATCACTTCCTGTGCCTGCAGTGCTACCAAGGGAACTCTGGGTGGCATGTTTGGGATGCTGAAGGGCCTTGTGGGGTCCAAGAGCTTGAGTCGTGCAGACATGGAATCTGTGCTGGACAAGATGCGTGATCATCTCATTGGTAAGTTCTGAGAACAGGTGGACTCGTGTGTACGGGACAGAGATGGTGGAGAGTAGAACCACCTAGAACTCTCAGCTGTACCACGGGTTGTTTACTGTGGACGTGGCACTCACACCTGTTCCTGTCTCTCCAGCTAAGAATGTGGCAGCAGACATTGCAGTCCAGCTCTGTGAATCTGTGGCCAACAAGTTGGAAGGGAAGGTGATGGGGACATTCAGCAGTAAGTATCTCCCTAAACCAGAAAGTGCTCAAGGGATTACACTTACTAGGAGGTGAAGAGCATTGTTCTCCATTCTTGCTAGATGTATGGCTTCTGGCAAACTCCTTCACCTCTAAACGGCTATTACAGAACTTAGACTTTAAGAGTTATCACAACTAAATGAGTTTAAGTGCTTGGAACACGATCACTTATGGTGTGGATTCCTGGGACAAGGTCCCAGCTCCCTTAGGTGTTGGGTGTTTTTCGAGTACGTTCCTTGGGTTTCATGGATCCACCTCCCTTTTTAGCGGTGACTTCCACAGTAAAGCAAGCCCTACAGGAGTCCCTGGTACAGATTCTGCAGCCACAGCGTCGTGTTGACATGCTGCGGGATATCATGGATGCCCAGCGTCATCAGCGCCCTTACGTTGTCACCTTCTGCGGTGTTAATGGAGTGGGGAAGTCTACTAATCTTGCCAAGGTCAGTAGAGCTCCCCATTTTCTTCACTCTCCATGTCTTAGCAATTCTCGTTCTAGATGACTGGTTTCTTTGCTTTTTTTCCACAGATTTCTTTCTGGCTGTTAGAGAATGGCTTCAGTGTCCTCATTGCGGCCTGTGACACATTTCGTGCTGGGGCCGTGGAGCAGCTGCGTACACACACCCGGCGTTTGAGTGCCCTACACCCCCCAGAGAATCACGGTGGCCGCACTATGGTGCAGTTGTTTGAAAAGGGCTACGGCAAGGACGCTGCTGGAATAGCCATGGAAGCGATTGCCTTTGGTATGGCGCAGAGAAAGCGTGGGGGAGCTTGTGTGGGCCCCGTTCCTCCTTGGGTTTCCTTGGGATTGGCAGAAGGTCAGGGTTACCCTCCTACCAACTTACTGCTCTGTAACAAGTCAGGATTGGGAACTTGCAGTGCTCTGCCTTGGGTAACAAGAGTACTAGCTGCAGGCAAAATACGTTCCCACCAAAGAAACCTGTTTGCTCTCCTCTATCCAGTTGCCATCTTTTCCTGAATGTTCTTGATTGCCAAGCACAGAATAGGTTTTTTTGCTCATATAACCTTACAGCCAGATCCAGAGCCCAAGAAAGTAAACACATAGGCTTTTAATACAGCCAGGTTATGACTTCTTGAGAGAAAGCTGGGAATGAACAGGATATTCCAGATGTTTTGAGTTGACCACTTTTTTCTCTTTAGCACGTAACCAAGGCTTTGATGTGGTGCTGGTGGACACAGCTGGCCGCATGCAAGACAATGCCCCTCTGATGACTGCCCTGGCTAAGCTCATTACTGTCAACACACCCGACTTGGTGCTGTTTGTGGGGGAGGCCTTAGTAGGCAATGAGGCCGTGGACCAGCTGGGCAAATTCAACAGAGCCTTGGCTGACCATTCTATGGCTCAAACACCTCGGCTCATTGATGGCATCGTCCTTACCAAATTTGATACCATTGATGACAAGGTGGGAGCTGCTATTTCTATGACCTACATCACAAGCAAACCCATCGTCTTTGTGGGCACTGGCCAGACCTACTGTGACCTACGCAGTCTCAACGCTAAGGCTGTGGTGGCTGCCCTCATGAAGGCTTAATGTGGCTCTTGCCTAAAACCAAATCACTGCTTCCCCCCAAAGCGCCCCCTGCATCAAGAATGTGCTTTAGAGTATGTGAGCGACTTCTCTTCAGTGTAGTACAGAGGCAGGGTGAGGGGAGCTCCAGGGGCTGCAGCTCCCCTGCCCCACTCCCTGGCAGCCCAGCCTCCACCTGCAAGGAGGGCCTAATCATGTTACAGTCACTGCCCATCACCCCCTTCCCTGACAGTCCCCCACCCCCCAGGCATTCCCTTCACTCTGCCTACACACTCAGCCTCACTATAGCTCTGGCCAGTGGTCGGCAGAGCCCAACATCAGAGCTTTGCTAATTCGTACTGTCACAGGGATGTCTGAGCACAACGAGCAGTCTGAAGTCCCAGCTCGAATAGGTTAAGAGACTTCCAGAGCCAAATCTGGGTTCTCCCTTGGATACATAGCTTTCAGGTCCCTGGGGACCAACATGATACCCACCACACTGTGGCAGAGTATGGCCTGTTCTTAATTGCTGCTAATTCTGATGATGTCCCCATCCCCATTGTTTCCTCAAAGCATCAGCAGAGGCCAGAGTGAGTTGTTAAAAATGAACGAAAGGAGTTCCTGCTTCTCAAAATTAAAGGGAGCTGAGCTGTAGTGCTGCACTGGGCTTCTCAGCCTTCCAACTCTTACCCGCTCCCAAACTCCAGATGTAAGCTTTGCATGTTCCCTTTCCTGGGAGAAAACCAACTGTCAGAAGGGTAGACGAGTTGCCCCTCTCCCCCACCCCACTCTCCACTTGAGCGGATCCTGCCTTTTCCTCTTTTTTCTCTCTACAGTGCCTGGTAGACAAGTGCTACATTGAAGAATACAAACCTCTTGTTAAGACTTGTCCTGTAGCTTGGTATTACAGATGTGCTATTAGTGCAATAAGGTGAAGGCTGTCTGCCCAGAGAAATACATAATTTATATAAGAAAATAAATTTCATAAATAAATTGCCCTTTATGTCTCGGAATTCTTTTACATAGGATTTAAAGCTAAGATCTCACATCACGCTAACTATGGTTCTGGGCCTTGTAGTACGAAGGGAAATAAAACAAAAATTGGTAACGAATGGTTGTCCAGAGAACAAGATCACCCACCTCAATGTGAAAGGAGAGCACTTTTAAATTAAGGGACAAAAACTAGGCTCCTCTAATGCCTCTGCAGGTTTGTTTTCTAAAGGGACTCTAAAAGTAGAGCCAGGGCCCTGGGAAGTAAATGAACAAGCTTTTAATACAGCTCAGTTATGTAAAATACTGTACACTGTAAAAGGTCTAGAAAACTAGAGCTTCGAGTCATGTTTTAAAAAAGCCATTGAGCTTAATTGAAAAACCAAGTATAGAGTACAAAACTGCAACAAGGGCCATGGCGGTCCCATGGCATCCAGATCCCAAGTCCTTCATGCAGGGCTGTAGCCACAGTCAGTGGAGGTGTTGCACTGATCTGCTGTGTGGACACAGGCATGTCCACCCAGGGGTGGGGGAGCTGCATTGGGTCCCACTGTCACTTGGGGATTCTTGAACTGGAATAGGACGCAGAAGATCAAGAACCAGTGGGCATGAAGGATTGAGCTGGAACACCCCCTACCCCCAACTCTCCCCCCCCAACCTTCAACCGCTGGGTTTTGGTACTTCGACGGAGCTGTGTTGGGTTCTTGTAAGTTTACTTGTTAAATACTCTCCACAGGCCTGACGGTTTGGTCTAATGGTGATGAGCTCTCTAGCCCTCTCATGTTCTACAGTCTGTGGAAAGAAAGAAAAGAGAATAAAATGAAGTCTCACAAAACTGATGTGTACATCTAAAGCTGCAGATAAATATTTAAGTCCAGCTTAACCCGTCAGAAGACAAGACATCACAGATACTAGGAATCTTGTGATAGACTCGATAGGAAAATACAGACTCCTTAACAGGTAGGAGAGAGAAGTCATTCTCCAAGGTCTTAACCAAACCCCAGGAAAACATTTTTTGCCCAGAAAACTGACAAACAGACCAGGAAATAGTATACCTCTTATTTCACTGTGTGCTGTGGACGAGCCATTGAGCTGACCTTCTCTCACCATCCCTGCTAAACAGAATGCACATCAGAATCAGCATTAGACTGGGAAGCCAAAACTTTAAAAAAAAATTTTTTTTTTTTTAATTTTAGAGAGCATGTGAATGGGAGACGGGGCAAAGGGAGGGAGAGAATCCCAAGCAGGCTCCATGCTGTGTGGAGCCCAATGCGGGGCTCAATTCCATGACCCTGGGATCATGACCTGAGCCTAAATCAAGAGATGCTCAAGCAACTGAGCCACCCAGAACCCCAACTCTTAATAGTAGAAAGAAAACCAAGCAACTAATGGGGAATAAAACCATATGGTCTAACAAGAATGGCATTATTTAGTAATGACCATATCACAGAGGAAGATAAAGGAGGTGGAGAGAATGAACTGGATTAGTCTTCAGACTACATCTAATAAGGGCAGCAGTAAGTCTGCACTAACGCTGTCTGTAAAGAAAACATTAAATGGGCAAAGTGTGCATGTTGTCCCTAACTCCTCAAAAAGGCCAAGTTTAGGTAAAAATCCAGGGATGGAGATAGGGAGCAGCATGCAAGTGAGCAAACTCAACCAAGTAGAAGAGTGAAAAGGAGCAGACGCTCTGACAACACAAAATGAGTTAAATCTGAGCTGTCCAGTAAGGTGCTGTTGGCCACACGTGGCTATACACTTTTATGTTAGAAATTCTGTTCCTTAGTCACACTAACCACATTTCAAATGCTCAACAGCCACATGTGGCATGTGGTTACAATACTGGACAGGGAAGATAACAGAATATTTCTATCACTGCAGAAAATTCTATTGGACAGCCCTGAGATAGATAATAGCGCAGGAAAAAAGTTTGAACACATGGAAGAAAACCCTAGTCAGAATTATGACCATTTAGAGTATAAATAAATAAAAACATTTGTACATACAAATTAGTATTGATATTCCCCCATCTTAAAAAGAACTTTAGAGGGATGCCTGGGTGCTCAGTTGAGTGTCCAACTCTTGATATCAGCTCAGGTCATGATCCCAGGGTTGTGGGTTCGAGCCCCGTGTCGGGCTCCATGCTGAGCGTGGAGCCTGCTTAAGAGTCTCCCCCCACCCCAAATCCCGTCTCCCCTACTTATGTTAAAAAAAAAAAAAACAAAAACTTTAGCAACAGTTACCGACCACCAAAATTCTCATTACCTTTGACTAGTAATTATACTGAGAACCCATCCTAAGGAAAACTTGCAAGGATGAACATATAATTCACCATAACAGTACTTACAATAGAAAAAAAAACTAGAAAAAAGTAGAAGATGGCTAACACAGGGCAAAAATTAGGCAAACTAACATCCACACTGGAGTATAACAGAGTCATTAAAAATAGTGGTTATGAAAACTAGCCATGTGGGAAAATGTATGAGATGTACCACTGAATAAAAAATGTACCAAGACTATGTATACTTCGTTTACAGCTATGAAAAAATCCACAGAGAAAATTGTTAATTGGAAATATACCAAAATAACTGCTTGTATTACAATAATGAATTATAAAAGAATTATTTTTTCCTTCCCCATTACTTGATTTTTCTGAAATGAATGTACTAGGTCCTACAGAATCATTTGAATTCAAGTAACTTTCACTATGCAAAATCAAGTACACAGCACAATGCCAGGAACATAGCAAATTTCAGTGTTAACAGCAAAAGACCTCTTATTAGGATGTATCTACAAAAACGCAAATCATAACCAAGCATGGAAGTAAGCTTGACTGGTCTCAAAATGAAATAATGTTTTTAACCTAAAACTACTCTGCTTGATTTCAAATCACAAACTCAAGCTGACCACTCGAATAAATATTCTCATACTGAGAATCCTTCATTTTTGGAAGTTCAGAATGCCCAACTGAGTGATAGCTTTGGGGAAAGCCCCTTTGGGAGGAAGCCCATGTAGCTAACAGGATTTGTGCCACTCTACAACACTTCTAATGATGTTTGTCAAGAAAAGATTTTGTTTAACAGGAACAGCTGAACAGGGGGATTTTGTTATTGCTTTTAATTTTAGCATCATCCCTGGGTAGAAGGTCTCAAAATGCAGATCAAGAGAAATATGCAGAGCTTGGGTAGGTACCTCTTGTTTGATGACAATACAATATGCTCAGTGGAAAAGCCTACTGAAAAGTCCTAAGTGTGGGCCAACAACAGAAGAATCTGAAGCATGGCAGGACAGCAGAAAATGCATCCCTAAAGAAAGAATAGCAAATTGTTTTTCACAAGAGACAAACCCAAAGGTTTGTCTTTTGAAAGGATTTTCTAAAAACCATAAAAAATCCTACAAAAGAACACAGGCAGTAACCTCTTTGACATTGGTCGTAGCAATTTTTTTCTACATATGTCCCTGAGGCAAGGGAAAACAAAAGCAAAAATAAAATATTGGGACTACATCAAAATAAAAAGCTTCTGCACAGCAAATGAAACAATCCGCAAAACTAAAAGGCAACCTACTAAATGCAGAAGATATCTGCAAATAACCTATCTGATAAAGGCTTAGTATCCAAAATATATAAAGAACTAATAAAACTCAACACACCCCAACACACCCCTCCCCGCCCCCCCTGCCAATAATCCAATTAAAAAACCAGCAGAAGGGGTGCCTGGGTGGCTCAGTCAGGTGAGCATCCGACTTCAGCTCAGGTCATGATCTCACAGTCCGCGAGTTCGAGCCCTGCATCGGGCTCTGTGCTGACAGCTCAGAGCCTGGAACTTGCTTCCAATTCTGTGTTTCCCTCTCTCTCTGCCCCTCCGCCACTTGCGCTCTTTCTCTCTCTCTCAAAAACTAAATAAACAAACAAACAAATTAAAACAAAAAACAGAAGACATGAACAGACATTTCTCCAAAGAAGACCTATAGATGGCCAACAGATACATGAAAAGATGTTCACCATCACTTACCATCAGGGAAAAACAAATCAA